GAGGGAAGGAGGGTGGAGAAGGAAGGAAAGGGAGAGAAAAACAAGGAAGGAAGGAAGGAAGGAAGGAAGGAAGGAAGGAAGGAAGGAAGGAAGGAAGGATCTATTCTACATGCTACACTATATACTTTCAGGACAAGCACATCCCTGAATATCTACCTCCCTGAATTTTTGGATAACTTTTCCAGTCCATTAGTAGCTCTGCCATTGTGGGAGTCACTGTGAGGAATCTGGGAAGGAAATTTCTCTGGAACTGCCAACTCGAAACACAGATTATCTCTAGCCATCATTAAAAATTCTCACCTCCCGGCACACCGCAGCTATCTGTCCTTCATCCATGCAGGTCTCCGTTACCACGTCTGTCAACGAGCCGCCAGCCAAATACTCCATGACAACCCACAGCTCATCTCCCACCAGGTAACTGCAGTGAACGGAAGAAAGCGCAGGCGTCACAAGGGCCAGACAAATGCACAAGCACACCTATTGCCAAACCGACCTAGGCAGCAATGTTTAAAAAAACAGAGCAAGCTGTGGTCAAAAGAAAGCCACAAAAACCGCACTGCAAACACAGCACAAGGGACCAAATCTTGGTTTTGATTTCCAGTTTTAGAGAGATGACATTTTCTAAAAGACTCCGGAGGGAAAAAAAAAATCTTAATTCTGACAACTCTATTCCAGAATTGGACAAATAAACCTGCTATCGTGTTTCATGAGCCAACACTCTGCAGCGCACTGAGGTTGTTACTTAGCTGGGTCATGAAACGTCAGCCGGAAAACAACCCAGGTCAGAGAGCGCCAAGGACTCCAAGAACAAGGTCTCTCCTTTTGTAGAGCAGTTTGAAGAACAAGTTCCCAATGGTCCCACCTTTGCAGAACGTCTGGAGGAAGGGAACTTGGGAGGTCTTCTAGTCCAACCCTCTTCTGCCATTTCAGACAAAAGGCTGTGCAATCTCTTCTTAAAAACCTCCAGTGATGGTATCCCTGAAGTAACCTCTTCCACTTGAATAATTGTTCTCACTGAAAGGAAATTTCTCATGTTTCTTTTTTTGGTTGGATCTCTCCTTGATTAGATTAGATTAATAGAGTTGGAGGGGGCCTTGTAGGCCATCTAGTCTAACCCCCACCCCACCCAAGCAGATCCTACACCATTTCTCACAAGTCTCTTCTTGAAAGCTTCCAGTGATGAAGCTCCCACCACTTCTGAAGGCAACTTCTTGTTCCATGGGTTGATGGTTCTCAATCTATCCTTATTTCCAGGTTCAATCTCTTGTTCTCGCCTCAGTTTCCATCCGTTGATTCTTGGCCTACTCTCAGGTACTTTGAAGAATAATTTGACCTCCCCTCCTCTTTGTGGCAGCCCCTCAAATATTGGAAGACTGCTATTGTGACTCTCCTGGTCCTTCTCTTCATTAGAGTTGACAATCCATAGGAGACCACCTTCAACAGCCAAACAGAGAAGTTTGAAGAAGTTTGAAGAGAAGTTTAAGACCTAGTTCTTGTTCCTCGCCATAAATTGCCAGAGGTCTCACATCGCTCACTTCTGAGCATGTAATTCACAGGTTTCATCTCACCTCCAGAAGTTTCCCCACCTGTTTCTCCTCACAAAATGCCTGAAGGTCACGCTTTCCTCACTTCTCATCTCACCTACCTCACCTCCCACCAAGGGAAATGAAGAGGTCGTAGCTTTCTTATTTCAAAGAACAGAATAGAATTCTTTTATTGGCCAAGTGTGACTGGGCACACAAGGAATTGGTCTTGGTGCAAATGCTCTCAGTGTACATAAAAGAAAAGATATATTCGTCAAGAATCATCAGGTACAACACTTAATAATAGTCAAAGGTTCCCCGATCCTTAAATTCTCGCCATAAATTCCATAGGTAGAAACATAGAAAAGGGAACGGCAGAAAAAAAGATCCATAATGTATTGAGTTTGCCCTTTGAGGGTTTTTTTTTTTGTGTAGTTTAAATTTATTACTAGCTCGATACCTGTACTTCGCTACGAAACTATGTGGTGGGGCTTAGTTTTTGGGGAGGAAAATAAGGGGGAAAAATTGTGCCTCTGCCTACCAGCATCCATTGGTATTCATCTGGCTAGGATCCTGTCAGTGTGTGAGAGAGTTGAGGGCTGTTTGGAAACTGAAAGAGTATTTGCTGTGTGAGCAAGAAAGAGACAGCAAGGAGCCTGGGCGTGGCTTAGCTCAACTGTTCTGTACTAAAGCTGCTTGGTGCTCTGAAACTGAAACTCCTCTCCTCTGCTCGTGTTTTGCATTTGGAAGAGATTTCTTTCCAGGTGGGGAGGGGGAGTAGAACTCCTTAGCATCAGAGCGTGTTAATAATAATAATAATATAGGAAATACTCTAAATGCTCTGAGGGTCATTTCGAAAAATCCTTTCTTAGTGAGCTCCTAGAAGCCAAGAGGAACCTACGGGCCAAATTTCAAGTTTGTAGGCTTTACGGTTCTGCAGATTTTGTGATGATGCATGAGGGGTATTTTGCTTTTATATAGATAGAGTCTTTATTTACAGGTAATCCTTGACTTACAACAATTTGTTTAGTGACCGTTCAAAGTTGCAACAGCCCTGAAAAAGCAGACTTACGGCCATTTTTTACTTATGACCATTGCAGCATCCCCAAGGTCCGGTGATCAAAATTCAGACCCTTGACCACTGACTCATATTTATGACGGATGCAGAGCCCCCAGGGTCGTGCAAGCCCCGACACTTATGTAACCTCCTGACAAGCAAAGCCAATGGGGAGGCCGGATCATCGAACAACCGTGTTACTTGCTTAACAACTGCAGCGATTCAGACCGCAGATAGGCCAAAGCTCAATAAACGCCTTGCTTTAGCAACATAAATTTGGGCTCCATTGTGGTCATAAGTTGAGGATTACCTGTATTCAAGGCATGCTGATAAAATCCCTGCCCAATTTCACTGACTATTATTTGCCATGGCTACTCAACCTCTGAAAAAAAGCCAGTTTAGGTTACTACACGTTTACTAACTGAACTGCACCGATTCGCTTAACAACGGTGGCAAGAAAGGTCGCACAGTGAGGCAAAGCTCACTGTCCCTCTTAGCAACAGAAATTTTGGGCTCAGTTTTGGTTCGCAATTGATCAGTATGAGCCAGTTGCTAAGTACTCAAATACAGATGTTTCTCCTTTTGGTAAGCAGTCCAGAATTATTTTAAGAGTTGATCAGAGAAAGGTGTTTCAGTCAGCGATAGCTTGATAAATTTAAACCCATTAAACGAATGGATAAAATGGCTCCCTGTGTATTTCATAATTAAGAATTACAGTTCTCCGGGAGATGTTTTGGCTGCTGCCTACGACACCATGGCAACAGATATCGTACCCCGAGCCACTTGCAAAGATCTGTTTTTAAAAAGGATTTTAAAAAATAAAAAAGATCGAACTCCACAAATAAACACAAAAACAAGGAGAGGAAGGAGCAAACAGAGGGAAGGGAAAAACCAAAGGGAGAATGTTTTAATCCCAGTCATCTGATTGCATCATTTCCACAGTGGAATCCATCTGTTTGATATATATATATTTTCTCCCAAGGACAGGAAAAAACAACAGATTTGGCACAGCAGGGAAGTCCATAAGAAGGCCAAGACAGCACAGAATTACATAAATTAAACACTGCTCAGCATCCTTGTTTTAAGTAATTATTTTTTTTTAAGGGGAAAATGAGGGGCAAATATTTTGGCCTTCTCAACCCCACACTCCCATCCATCTCTGGAGGCAGCGAAGAAACAACATCGAGGTCAATCAAAGCGGCTGCGTAAAAACGAAGACGCCCTGCCCCCATATCTTAAATTACAGCTACCTGTCCAGGTAGTTGACAATGTTGGGGTTCTTGTTTTCCCTCATGACAAGAATTTCATTGATAATCAGCTCTTTCTTAGGCTGTTGTTGCAAATTCATCTGTTTGATGGCAACCTGGAATTTGGAAAGAGGAGGGAAAATAGAATCCATCAGCTTGGTTGCGAGAGGCACAATGGTAGAAGATACTAGAAATTACAGGCAGTCCTCAATTTAGGAAAATAATAGAGCCTGTTTATTATGGCGATATCTATCTATCTATCTATCTATCTATCTATCTATCTATCTATCTATCTAT